ATTTAGGGCAGTGAGGGATAAGTGATGGCGTCTGGTGGAAGCAGAGCGACGCACCCAAACAGGAGTTGATGAGTGAGTGAAAGAGTGAAGATACACGGAAGAGATGTCCAAGGCAACTCTATCATTGTTGAACAAGCCTTACGTGTGAGTTTCAAAGGTTCTCAAAAAAAATGTGCGCATAAGTATTGTTTTTTACACTTCCAATTTCGACATGGATTTTGGCTCAGTGGTTTAGAGTGGTGGCTCCAATCTGTTAAGTGAGGGTTCGGGTCCCACTACGGTTAAAGTTAAGAAGCGGTTACTTGGTGTTTGGGGTTCACCAAGCTCCCCACCAGGAGTCACGTCCCCCGGCCGTCTTTTGATTGTTTGTTCATTGATCAACAGATTTAAGGTGATGTAACCATAAATGTTTTCACGTACTATTAGATTGTATATTAGAGTTGATACAGTATAGTATATATTGTTAGCTAGGTAAAAATTGAGAAGTCATTACGTCTACAAATAATAATATAGACAAAGTTTCAACAGGGGAATAATGGAGATTCCTCGAGAAAACTTTGTTATCTCTAACCGATCTTTGCAAACCAGGCAGGGTGTACACAAATACCCTAAAAATGAAAAATTAACATATATCAATCGAGCCTGTTCATTTCATTTTATACAATGCAACGACATTTGTAATTCTTTTTTCGGAACCTGTATGAAAACAATATTCGTCATAAATGCTACATCGTCATCTTCCATTCCTGGACACTCGGTCATTAGCTTGAGTTTTGACCGCGCGGTGAGTCTCGACAAAGCTAAGATTTGTCGTTCATGCGAAAAGCAGAAGGATGATAGGTGAAAAAAGCAAATTCTGTCTTTGTGCCTTGTTGCTCGTCATTACAAAAAGCCACGCTAGCCTCGTATGAGGCGACAGTAAAATGTGAATTGTGGATATCCACAATATTGATGGGGAAAGTGTCACGGTGTCACGGGGTCACGGGGTTACACGTACCCTGGTAACAGGAGTGTGTGTCACACGAGATGGGCATGGTGTGACTACACCCAAACAAGATTACGGTATGTGGCTAGGTAGCCAGTAGTTATGCACGTATTTAGATATTACTACATGTATATTTAGTATATTACTGAAAATCCAAATTTTTGAAATTACGATAAAAAGTAAATAAAAATCAGCTTTGGATTTTAAACGGGAGAGCTAATTAGCCTTGGGTAAGGCAATAACTACTCTTGGAGTAAGCGAATTGCGATTTCCTAAATCGTTCTTGTTTCTATGTATAGAACGAAAGGTCGGTGACCTAAATTATGCTTCCTCAAGCGCTAAGCTACGGCAGCGCCGCTGCACTCGGTAGCACTTGTAGTCTATCTACACCTGAGTCGTTTAGACTTATCCTCTGTGAGGAAGAAGGAAATACCCCAGGGCATGCAGGACAGGCTTTGCAACTTGATGTCCTTGCTTGGCGTGCAACACCTTGTAGCGCAAGGTCCCAAGGCAATCGGTGCGCGTCTAGAGGCGCTTATAAGTTACGAAAACGCACTGCTATTGCACCTGCAGCAAAAGATGTCTGCTTCATTTGCATATATGACGCCACCTTCAGTAACGGATGACTTCCCGGGCCCTAAGCCGCTCATGATGACGGTTTAGGTCTTTGAGGGGAAGGATGGAGAGAATCTCCTGCTCTGGGCGAGAGAGGTCGAGATGGCCATCGCATCCGCCATGCTCCAGA